AAAGAGAGAGAGAGACACACAGACAGACACAGGCAGTGTGACAGTCGGCGACTGACGTGGTCACGGTCTGGGATGTGAGGGCCGGTTGGTGGTTCGGTGCAGGGGACTCCCGGCACCGCAGTTCTGACCTGTAGCACAGCCCCGTTACTCCAGTCGCGGGCCTCTCCTGAGCGGAACGCCAACTTACGCCGGGGTTTTATGACCTACACAAATGGGGGTTGAAATCAAGGTCAGCACTGTCCAGAGTCTGGCCAAGGGTGACCTAGAGTGACCAAAGGGCAGCAGCTATGGCCGCTTGAGGCCCAGTCCCCACAGGATAGGCATTTCCTGAGGGCAGCGCAGCCACCCACTACGTAGGGATCTTGAGAAGATGTGTTTATTAGTGAATTACAAATGACTTCCAAGGACACAAAAAATTGCCAACAGGGAGCTTTGGGTCTACAGGGGGTGGGAAAGCAAAGCGTTTAAAAAAAAAAAAAAAAAAAGAGCCAAAAAAACTTGATTTCAAACTTGCTTCTCTCCTTAATTTAGCTAGAACATTTCTTCCAAACGCCCCTTTTGTATCTCAATGTGGCTTTCAGAAAAGTCCTTTTAAACAAGAAGTGCTTGTCAGCCGGCACACTGCAAGTGAAAGCTACAAAATCTAAAGAAACTGCAAATTAGTATTTTCACCACCAAATACCACCATTAAATGCAATTTAGACGCACAGTTAACAACCAGGCAGATGATCGCCGAGTGTGGGAGAGAATGTCTGAACATCCTGCCTGCTAGCGACAACTCCCTGCCAAGGGAACGAGGCCCCTCTCCTGGAAGGCGAGGCCACCCAGCCCATGCTCCCAGGCCACAGCTCTGGCTCCCATACCAGGACTCTCACCTGCTTCAGTGCAGGGTGTGGGGCGGCAGCAGGCTCGGCCTTGGCCTGCGTGGGGGCGGCGCCCTGCTGTAGGAGGCGCTGCTCGATCTCCTGCTCCTGCTGTAGCGCCTTCACGAAGGCAGCCTTCAGCCGGCTCGTGTGCTCCACCTTGAGTGCCTTCTTCTGGTTGGATGCCATGCAGTTCTCGCACATGATGGCGCCACCCTTCTCCTCCCGCCAGCGGCACGTGAAGTCCGTCTTGCACTGTGCACACATGTAGGGCTCTCGAGACAGCACAACGGCAGCTGACATCCTGCCCGCTGCAGGGAGAGATGGGTGTGCCGCACGTCAGAGGAACAGGAACACCACAGTAGGAGCACGGACTACCCCCAGGTGGGATATGGATGAGGGCAGAGCAGGGGCAGCACCCTGGGCCATGTGGCCCAACTGGCATCAGGACACCAAAGCCTCAGTCAGTGTTCGTTAGGCAAACACATATTGGGTGCCAACTGTGTGCGGGCACTGGGCCAGCCTCGGGAGGCTTTGCTGGCAGAAGCAAAGTTGAAGCACTTTAGAAAACACTGTGAGTTAGGCACCCTTGATACCAGCTCTCAAAGACATCAGTGCTGTCAGCTTGGCTTCTCCCAGTCATCTTTCCTGCCCACAGTGCAGACATTTCCAACCCTCCCGTACTGTGTCACCGGTGGAGAGGAGATGGTGACCACTCGAGGCCCCACCTTGTGGTGACCGGCACCCTTGCTAGTGGGTGAGTTAACGGAGGACCAGTCATCTAGGCGAGTGCTTATGCCGACAGGCACTGTGCCTGGTGCCTTGTGGGTATCAGGGTGTCCAATTCTCACAACAAACTTCTAAGGGGCACCCCCCCACCCCATTGTCCTGAGGAAGAAACTGAGGCCAAGGAGCTGAAGTGACCTGTGCACAGCTGGTCAGTGTCAGAGCCAGGACACATACCCGGCTGCCCTGGGAAATGGGAACTTGGTGGCTCCTTGATCAGCTACAGGAGGGGTGACTGGGGAAGCCACAAAAAGCACCTGCTGAGGTGTGGGGTCGATACTTTTTTTGTGGTACGCGGGCCTCTCACTATTGTGGCCTCTCCCATTGCGGAGCACAGGCTCCGCAGGCGCAGGCTCAGTGGCCATGGCTCACGGGCCCAGCCGCTCTGTGGCATGTGGGATCTTCCCGGACCGGGGCATGAACCCGTGTCCCCTGCATCGGCAGGAGGACCCTCAACTACTGCGCCACCAGGGAAGCCCTCGATACTATCTTCAATGTATATATGTTTGCCATCCAATGTGCAGTAAGGGGTACCTTTTGCACTCTGTTCCTATCTTTTCTGTGTCCAGCACTCCTGAGTTTAATTGCCTCTTGGCATTATGGACCATGATGCCAAGAGACCCTTAGCCTCCCCATCCCGCCTTGGGCCTGGCCAAGGTGCCCCTAACTGCTGAGGGGCTGTGCAGGATCTGACTCTAGGGGGGAGACCTGTCACTCCACAGAGCAGATGGGATGTTGCCTGCCCAAGCTGCCCAAGGCTCAGGGGTCTACACTGGGCCCCCAGCTCCAGGCCCCAGCCTAAGGCTAACACGCTCTGGTAACAAGGGCACTTTTGCTTCCACACATCCAACCCCAGAGGATGGGGTACCTGCTTCCCAGGCAGCTGCGGCCTGCATGACCAGTGCCAGAACAGACACACCAGTGCAGGGCTGTACTCAGTGTCCACCTGTGGCTCTGCGAAGTGTCAAGAGACACCTCAAGCAGGACTCAGAGCCTCCTCCCACAGTTAGGTCCTGTCTTTTGACAACAGGAGAGGGAGACAGACCCCTGATGAGAACAAGCGGAGACAGACTGGTCTGGGAGAGAGGGTGCCCAGCACAGGCAAGTGTAGGACGGGCAGGCATCGCCTCCTGACTCAGGCCTCCTGCCTGCGGCACTGCACTGGCCTTATAGCAGCTTTTTTGCCAACTTAACCTCATCATAAAGGAGTCACTGAAGGGATCCAGACACATCCAGGCTGTGTCAGAGCCCACATCTCTCCCCACTGGGCCTGGCTCTGGTGCCCCACAGTCCCTCAGGTGGAGTCCACCTGGCCATCCCCTGCCCTGAAGAGGTTACAGCTCTGCCTCCTCCTCAGCTCTGAGCATCTGACGAGATCACGTGGGGCGGGGATTCAGGCTGGCTGCCTAATAAATGCCACCACGAGCTTAATCTGAGGGCAGAAAGTCCTCAGTTTAGCATCTGCTGGAGGCTCCCAAAGGGCCAACCTGACCTCCCACCTTTCAGTATCGTTTTTGCTCACTACCTTATATACTCTTCTATTCCTAAAACCCCCTAACACGCAGGTGTGCTTTCCAAACTACTTCCAAGGAGGGTAATAAAATGATCCTGGCCCGGGCATAGGTGTCCCTCTCCCACTTTGGGGACTAAGAGCGCTCAAGGCTCTGCAGAGTTCCACCTTTGCCCAACTCTCAGAAGTGGCCGCATCAGAAAGAAGGCGTCTATGGTACGTTTAAGAAATTATCTAGGGTGGGAGGGAGAAATCAGGAGACTGGGACTGACATGTAAACACTACTATACATAAAACAGATAACTGACAAGGACCTACTGCATAGCACAGAGAACTCTACTCAGTATTCTATAATGACCTATAAGGGAACAGAATCTAAAAAAAGAGTGGATATATGCATATGTATAACTGATTCACTTTGCTATACTCCTGAAACGAACACAACACTGTAAATCAACTATACTCCAATAAAAATTAATTAAAAAAAAAAGAAAGAAATTATCTAAACCTCACAGCAAGCAAATAACTAATGACAAGATGTCACCCACAATGCGCCCCACATCTGTGGGTACACAGCAGACCAGACATGCCAACATGTGCTATGCATGGAAAACAACTTGCATGATGGAAACTTCAGCAGCAAGAGATAAAAACGGCCCCAGGCCCAGGGCCTCCTCACCTTGCGTCTCCAGCAGGTTCTGCACCACCTCCTCCAGGCCGACCAGGTAGATGAATTCATTGTTGGCAGCGCTGGGTAGGAAGTTCATCTCAGGGGCGGGGGGCTTGGGTGGGGGGATTTCAAGCAGCGTCTTCTCCAGCTGTTTGCGCAGTGCAAGCTTGGCGGCTGCCTGCCGACTGGCTGGAGAATCAGCAGAGGTGACCACGGAGGCCACGCTGGTGGGGGTGGAGTTGGCCTGAGCAGAAGTGGCTGTCGTTCCTTTCAGCGATGCTGCGGAGGGCTTTTGGGAGACAATGACCTGGTCAGGGTGCTTGAGGCGCCCACCCTGAGGAGAGCCCAACCACGGCACCCACAGCCCAGGTCGGCACCATTTAGCTACACTAAGTCCTTATAAAAGTAGCTCCAGGTCATCAGCACCATTAGCTATGCTAACAAATCCTTATAAAAATAACTCAGGACTTCCCTGGTGGCGCAGTGGTTAAGAATCCACCTGCCAATGCAGGGGACACGGCTTTGAGCCCTGGTCCGGGAAGATCCCCGTGCCGCGGAGCAACTGAGCCCGTGAGCCACAACTACTGAAGCCCGCGCACCTAGAGCCCGTGCTCCGCAACAAAAGAAGCCGCCGCAATGAGAAGCCCCTGCTCGCTGCAACTAGAGAAAGCCCGCGAGGAGCAATGAAGACCCAATGCAGCCAAAAATAAAAAAATTTTTTTTAAGTAAAAAGTAACTCAGAGCTGCTTGACATCAACAAGTAACAGGAAAAGCGCCGTTAAACTAATTGCTCTATGAGATGACCAATCTTATAAATACACTTGTTGAGGTTTAGCTGATATCCAATTAACTTTAAAACCTGTAATTTGCTACACTTTGCCACCTGACGACACCCATGAAGCCATCACCACGACAGTGGGTAGCCCCTTGGCAACTGTCCCCCACCCAGGCAGCATGGCAACTCTCCTGTCACTGTGGCCTGGCTCTCCTCCCAGCACAGGTCTGGGTGGCCTCCTTCCTGAAAAGGTTGCAAAGGTGGCTCACTGTGGCATCAATGGCATTTCCCTCATGAGCATCTTTGTGTGCCCCTGCACTTCATCTTTCCTGACCCTCACTGCTCCTGCATCATTTATCATCTTCTGCACCCCAGTGGCTGACCCTCCACCATCTCCTTGCCCCAGACCACTTGTCGCCCAACATTATCAAATGCTCTCCCCCAAACTTGGAGCTAACCATGCCAGTGCCCTTAGCTTTGTGGCACTGAAGACACTTCTGGAAATAGAAGGAAAGCTGTGTACACCACCTCCAGGAAAATGCACACACCTGACAACTTGTATGTAACACATCATGGGGCTCAGGGAGCCCAGGACGGTTGCCCAGACCCTGCCCATGGGGTCTCCACAGTGGAGCAAAACTCCCCACCATAGAGGATGCCATCACAGCACCTTGGCCTGTCTACTCCAGCCTCTGGCCAGCCAGTTCCCCCTGTCCCTTTTGTAGGCTCCCCTGGCCCCACAGGGAGCACAGCCACAGGATCCATCCACCACTGCCTGCCTGGTTCCCATCCTCATGGCACGAGAACAGGGTATGGCACACGGTAGTAATTTGACCCGAGTTTATGGTGTGGATGAAACTGCCTGCCCAGGACGTCCCCATCTGGGTGGCAAGACTGTACTTGAACCTGACTTTAGAAGAGGCAGGGACACTGTGCAGAGCCCTGCTGGCCATGATCTTATCTGAGAAAGGCGGGCAAGGATGCACCATGCCAAAGGAGGAAGAGAAGCTAACTTGCACATCAACAAAAGCCCTTGCAAACCCAGTAATTTCATCTGTCAATGAGGATCATGCTTCAGCCTGCCCGCCCCTGGTCCCAACTTCCCTGCTCTGTTGGGTGGCGACAAACCCTCCCCATTTCAGAGGCTCTGTACGGAGGTGAAGGGATGCATGGCTAAGAATAGATGCCCTGGTGCTGAAAGGACATTTGCAGACATTCTCCACACGTTTGTGCCTACAGAGGGGGAGGGTGCGGAACGCTCTGGTGCCCCACCCTGAGCCTTCCTGTATGTCAGCTCAGATCTCCACCCCTCCCACTCTCGGCAGCTATCCACCTCTGCTAGATGGCAGTTGGCAACATAAGACTCCTGCCCATGACTTTCATGCACCAACTAGCTCCAAGGAGCTACAGTACCACCGTCTGTGGGGCTGGATTATCCAAGACCTCACCTGGCTCCAAGGAAGCAGGCAAGTCACGCCAAGCCACCCTGGAGACATGACTGGGTCCCAGGACTGTGGGCCATCAGAGGGGCAGCTGCGGGGCACACATATGACCCTCACCTGTGGGATGTTGACGAGCAGACTAGTGTTGGGGACGTTGGTGACACGGATGAGGCCCTGCTGGATGATCCTCTGTCCCTGAATTTGCACACTGGGCACAGATGCCCGGGGAGCCAGGAGGAGCGGTGGTGGCCCTGTGCTGGAATGTTGTCTGATGTTGTGGATCTGCTGTTAGGGTGTAGTGGGGGGAGACAAGTCAATGAGAGGGACGACAGAGGGCGCCACAGGGAAAGAGCCC